AGAACAGATGATACATTTGAAGGGTTGTAGGCAAGATTGCTTACAACTCGCCCTGTGAATTCTGAGATTCTTACACTAGAGACTGACTGTGTCTATTAAATGTAACATGATCAAACAATCATTTCCTTCAAATAATGCTAACTCCCCTCTTTGATTAATATTAATGTGCCTTACATTGTTAGATAATTCTTTTCAAATATTTTGAATTGATTGCATTTTATTTTTGCACGCTAAATTGGGCACAGAGTCTACGATAAACTAGTGGTTTTTTGATTCATAGCTATAAGATTGAGCTGCAGGTTGATTGTTTGGTTTATGTAGTTGCATGAAGTGTACATTTTCCTATGAACCTACAAAACAAAACAAAAAAAAGATCATCTTATGTGCTGTTATATCGTTAATTTCCAGGATATGTTTTTCTCCATAGACAGAACAGTTTAAGATGAACACATTATTTACCTGGGCAAAAATAAATGTTATTTTTTAACATTGCATTTTGTGCTTTTAAATGTAACTGTCAAAATGTAGTACACTAAGTATGTCATTCCTTTCACTAGTATATTATTCATGTATTTTGTATACCTCATTTCCATGCGCTTGTGGTGGTAGAGTAGAAATATCGATAGTATATAATGTGTGTATGTACTGTACATAGCTCTATTTGTTGGTGGTATGTCCAACTTTATACAACATTTTGGCTAAAAAATATTGAAACCACTTGACGTCTTGACCCTTCATGACCAGGCCATTTTTTTTTTGCTATTGATCACATATCACTTTTTTTCACACAAATAGAGCTTTCTTTTGGGGGTATTTAATCACCAGTTTTTTTTTATTTTTTTTTTGCTATATAAGCAGAAAAATACCAAAAATTTTGAAAAAAAAAAAACCCACATTTCTCGTAGTTTCTGGTTTAACATTTTGGCAAATAAATAATATTTCTTCATAAATTAAGGCCAACATGTATTTTACTTCATTTCTTTGGTAAAATACCCAGTGTATATTATTTAGTCTGTTTAAAGTTAGTCTACAAACTATGGTGTGTATATATACAGTATATATATTGTGATGCTTTGATTGGTCACAAATGATCACATGGTACAGGGTGCTGTGATTGGCCAAGGTACTATGTGATCACTTGTGACCAATCACAGCATCACCACAGTAAGCAAAATGTCGTGAATGAAAGCCATTCTTGAGTTTGCTTATAGTCGTGCTGAAAAGTGACTGATCATGCCAAAACTGTCTTCTGTTAAAGGACAGTATCATATCAATGGCAAAATTTCACGTTTTCTGCCAGGGTGTACAAACTTACGTTATCATGTGTTTGCTGTGATTGGACATAGCGATCACATGATATCAAGGACACAGCGGTCATGGGTTTTGATGCTGCGGGGCATGTCAGTGCATGTGTGTTCAGGTACATACAGGTATGTCGCTAGACCTGCCCCAGACTGCTGCATGGAGGACTTTAAAACACACCAGAGCACCCTGACACCAATGTGTGATTTGCTGCCTTTAAATTAACAATAAAGGTCTCCACACCACTATTATCTGTACCATTTAGCAACCATCAATAGAATATCTTTTAGGGTTCTTAAACCCCACCACAGTGTGTCAATCTATTAGTACAATATTTTTAAATATATAATAATAATAATGTTGTATTAGGCAAAGTTAGAGGTAGGGGGTTCTTGAGAAAGATGGTTTTTACATCCCCCAAAATGTTAGATTTTTCCTTTTCCTCTCTCTATTCATCAGGGTCTGACTTAGCTATCCTTTTCATTACTTTATTCTGGGTACTGAATTCCTGTATGTATTTCTGAACATCAGCTGTTATATGGTCACTGTACCTATATACATGCATCTGATTTTTTGGTTGAATTCAACAGTGGAGAGAATACCTATGCTGTTTTATGCATATTGTGATATGACATACTTGGATATTTGTAAATGCTAAATATTAAACCTGATCTGGTTACTGTGACTTTGCCCATACTACACCAGCCGAGACTGGAGCTTACAATGAGACTAAAGCTTAGACAGGCCAGGATGTTGTATCAGGGAGGCAGTGAGGAAGCATACGAGCCAGGGGGCTACCTGCAGACACTTCCATTTTACCCTATTTGAGTAAAGTGGCAGTGGGGGATCTTACTAAAACTGGAGCACAAAGAATCTGGTACAGCTGTGCATGGTAGCCAATCAGCTTCTAACTTCAGGTTGTTCAATTAAGCTTTGACAATAAAACCTAGAAGCTGATTGGTTACTATGCACAGTTGCACCAGATTCTGTGTGCACCAGGTTTAGTAAATCCCCCCCGATGAGAAGGGTCAAAGAAAATCACCATGCAAGTTCACTGTAGTTAGCTAAAGAAGTAAAAAGCCAAACTGAGGTGATTGTTTCCTGTGACACAATACGGCGTACACTGCAGAGGAATGGCATGCATGGGTGTCATCCATGAAGGAAGCCTCTGCTAAAGCCCATGCACAAAAAAGCCCACCTAGAATTTGCCAGGGCCCATGCTGAAAAAGAAGACTATTGGGACTCTGGAGTGATGAGACCAAGATACATGTTTTTGAAACTGATGGCTTAAAAACTGTATGGCATTGCAAAGGTGTGGAGTACAAAGAAAAATGCATGGTGTCTGCAGTGAAACATGGTGGTGGCAGTGTCCTTCTGTGGGGCTGCATGAGTGCTGCTGGTGTCGGGGAGCTGCATTTCATTAATGGTATCATGAATTCACAGATGTACAGCTCTGTATTGAAAGAGAAGATGCTACGATTACTCCGTGCCCTTGGTTGTCATGCACTTTTCCAACATGACAATGATCCAAAACACACATCTAAGGCCACTGCTGCATTTCTGAAGAAGAAAAGAGTGAAACTGATTCAGTGGCCAAGTATGTCTCCTGATCTGAATCCAATCGAACACCTATGGGGAATTCTGAAGAGACACATTGAGCATCACTCTCCATCCAGCATCTATGCTCTAAAAGTGGTTGTTCTTGAAGTATTGGAAAAAGATAGATGCTGCAATATGTTGCCAACTGGTTCATTTCATGCCTAGAAGACTGTCCTTGCAAATCAAGGAGGTCATACAAAATACTAGATGTAGTAGTTATTGTTGTGGGGTGTATTCATTTTTGCATCAACTAATTTGAGTAAAACTGAAGATTTTGTAATCTAAGTTGTATTATTACCCTTACTTTCATGTCATGAGCTAAACAAATGTTCTATAAAACTCAGTTTTTGCAAAATTTTGGAATTTGTTCTTGTGTTCACTGAGATATTAAAATCGTATGCTGAGCACTGTATATACAGTCATGGCCGAAATTGTTGGCACCCTTGATATTTTTCCTGAAAATCAAGTATTTCACACAAAAAAGGTATTGCATTAACACATGTTTTGCTATACACATGTTTATTCCCTTTGTATGTATTGGAACAAATATAAAACAGAGGCAGAAAAGCAAATATGACATAATGTCACACAAAACCCCAAAAATGGGCTGGACAAAAGTATTGGCACCCTTAACTTAATATTTGGTTGCACACCCTTTGGAAAACATAACTGAAATCAGTCGCTTCCTATAACCATCAATAAGCTTCTGACACCTCTCACCCGGAATTTTGGACCACTCTTCCTTTGCAAACAGCTCCAGGTCTCTCTTATTGGAAGGACACCTTTTCCCAACAGCAATTTTAAGATCTCTCCACAGGTGTTCAATGGGATTTAGATCTGGGCTCATTGCTGGCCACTTCAGAACTCTCCAGCGCTTCTTTGCCATCCATTTCTGAGTGCTTTTTGACGTATGTTTGGGGTCATTGTCCTGCTGGAAGACCCAGGATCTTGGACGCAAACCCAGCTTTCTGACACTGGGCCCTACAGTGCGACCCAAAATCCTTTGGTAATCCTCAGATTTCATGATGCCTTGCACACAGTCAAGGCACCCAGTGCCAGAGGCAGCAAAACAACCCCAAAACATCATTGAACCTCCACCATATTTTACCGTAGGTACTGTGTTTTGTTCTTTGTAGGCCTCATTCCGTTTTCAGTAAACAGTAGAATGATGTGCTTTACCGAAAAGCTCTATCTTGGTCTCATCTGTCCACAAGACGTTTTCCCAGAAGGCTTTTGGCTTACTCAAGTACATTTTGGCAAACTGTAGTCTTGCTTTTTTATGTCTCTGTGTCAGCAGTGGGGTCCTCCTGGGTCTCCTGCCATAGCGTTTCATTTCATTTAAATGTCGACGGATAGTTCGCGCTGACACTGATGCTCCCTGAGCCTGCAGGACAGCTTGAATGTCTTTGGAACATGTTTGGGGCTGCTTATCCACCATCCGGACTATTCTGCGTTGCAATCTTTCATCAATTTTCCTCATCCGTCCACGACCAGGGAGATTAGCTACAGTGCCATGGGTTGCAAACTTCTTGATAATGTTGCGCACTGTGGACAAAGGCAAATCTAGTTCTCTGGAGATGGACTTGTAACCTTGAGATTGTTGATATTTTGCCACAATTTTGGTTCTCAGGTCCTCAGACAGTTCTCGTCTCCTCTTTCTGTTGTCCATGCTTAGTGTGGCACAGACAGACACACAATGCAAAGGTTAAGTGAACGTCTCTCCTTTTTATCTGCTTTCAGGTGTGATTTCTATATTGCCCACACCTGTTACTTGCCCCAGGTGAGTTTACAGGAGCATCACATGCTTGTAACATTCTTATTTATCCGCAGTTGTGAAAGGGTGCCAATACTTTTGTCCAGCCCATTTTTGGAGGTTTGTGTGACATTATGTCGAATTTGCTTTCTTTCCTCCCTTTTTTTGTTTTGTCCCAATACACACAAAGGGAATAAACATGTGTATAGCAAAACATGTGTTAATGCAATACGTTTCGTGAGAAATACATGATTTCCTGGAGAAATATCAAGGGTGCCAACAATTTCGGCCATGACTGTATATATTACTTAAATTGTGTCCATGTACTGTGAAAAACTGTAGTTTTATATTTATAGTATTTTGTCTCATCACACGTATCTCTGGGGCTGACATTCAATCATTAATCTTACAGCTCTCAAATTCTGCCACACTGGAAGGCAAAGGGCAACTGAAGTTTACCTCTGGGCGATGGAGCCCTCATCACAACTGTACCCAGGTGGCCACGGCCAATGACACTTCCATCCGAGGCTGGGACATCAGAACTATGAGGTAATAAATTAACGAGCCCAATCTTTGTTAATCAAAATCTAAACTTGTCAGTGACGATCGTCTGATTCTCAGTTCAAAAATTGTTGCCTTCATATCTGCGCTCTGCTATGTGATTATATTTTTTCTTTGTGCCTTAAGCAACACTATTTCATTTAGCAATAAGTGAATAAAAACATTTTGCTTTTAATGAAAATCACATCTGCGTTGTATTTGAAAACAATTTTATAATACATGTTCATTTTTTTATGAAAAAAAAAAATGCCTAAATTGTTAATGGTAAAATCATAGATTTAGCTTATTTTAGGCAAGAGGTATATTGAGCTTGCAACACTTATTCTTGTATTAGTTGAAACTGATGACAGTGAAATTAGGTACATTTGAAAACACAATGACAGGAACATTTTATGAATATTTTGCAATTTGAGTTCGGTTGACAGCATAGGCTTCGTTTAAAATTGTGATGTCTAAAAACAAATTGACAACATGGATATGCTATAAAAATGAAAAGTTGTAATTAATGGTGTGTAGTGTTTGTGTCAGGATCCCAAATGGGGACACAGAAGCCTGTGCCCCTAGATGAGTCTGCACAGCATTCATTTTGTTGCTTTCAGTTGTATAAGAGTGTCAGTATTCATGATACCAAGGAAACAACTTTATATGCTTTTACTCTTTAAACTTGTTATTTTTAAACTTTTTTTTCTTAACTGCCCCAAATGTATTGCCTCTACCCTCTAAAATTTTATTTCCAGTTACCATTTTATTTTATTTTTTTTCATACACTTATGCCTAGTATACATGATCAGAAAATTGGATGAAAAATACTGCTTTCTAAGCTATTGTACGATAATCTGATTGTTAGTACACAGCCTTTGCGAGCCCGTCACAACAGTTCATGTAAAGTTATCCAAAAAGACAAACAGGAAAAATTTTCTCATACGATAGCAGAATGAACAATTTTCATTTAATCAGTACAGTATTTATTCCAGAAAAAATTGTAAGACCAAGACCACGCATGCTCAGAAATGAAAGAATAAATTACAATACATAACATCACTTCCGGAGTTGTATTCTGTCATAGGAGAATTTTAGTAAACTCTTCATTCTATATGAGACTAGCATGCCAAAAAAAAAAAAAAAACCGCGGCCGATAATTCCTCTGATATTCTAATCATGTGTTCGAGGCTTTAAAGTGAACCTGCAAGTTCAGTTTATCTGGTATAGTTGCTCCATGCTCAGACAGTCATCCCTGCATTGCTTTTAAGGAACCTCATGATTGAAAAAAAAAAGGCAAGAGCTAGCATTATCATGTTCTGGCCTGCTTCATCCTCCTAAGTGATCACTATGTGGTGGGTGGCTTTAGTGGTCAATGGAGAAGTTTATTAAATGAGAAGAAGTGAACTGGAATATGACCTTGCAAGCTCTGAATCTATATGCATATTAGATTGCCACCAATTTTAGGGATCCTAGGGAAAGTATGTAAGTAATCTGCAGAGACCTTCAGATGCCAAGTGTATGATCTTTGATCATCCTGTGTCCTCTGTAGAGTAATTTTCTTGTTGATTGCCTAGTGAAACCTGGTGGTGTTTTTTTTCATTCTTTTATTTCAAAGTTCAGGAAAGTGTTGAGAACACTTTACGTATTCTTCTGTTAGTATTCAGAGATTTTGTACACCATTGTAGTAAAGAGTGCTTGTTTTAGCAGTTCTTTGGATTGAGCGGCTGTGAAGAAACAGCTTGGTTCACTCAAGTATGCAGCTTGCTTGACACTGTCACTTGAAACTAAGTATTTCCTGACAGGTCCTCTTTAACACATTATGGGTAAAGGAAACCTCTCAGCATAGAAATATGGAAGCTTTGCTTTTGAAATTGTGTACTTTGGGGCTGTTTTCTTTATTCTTTATTTTGTTATGTAGTAAGTCATTGACCGAGAAGCAATATACAGGTTTTTGAAAACATTGATGGCTGCATGTTTTTTTGGGGCACCAACTTGCTGGTAAATAAAGAATGGAGTCTTTACAGGTATTGCAGCATTATCACACTTCATTGGACAACATCCCAGAGGTCTGTGCTTACTAAGCACTTGCATGTATGGGCGTAGTTTGATGTGCATTTAAAATGCATGTGAAACACAGGTCAGCAGATTCCAATTTATTTCAGTGGTGCAGTATTAAATCTGCATTTCTCTTGCTATGAGTTGTATAACCCTGAACACAACATGTCCTGTTGGAGATATGCTTGTATTTTTTGGCAAATCAAGTCAAATGTGGTCTTTTGCTTTGAAGCTCACAGGTTTGAGCTACAAGGTGTTGTGATGTAAAATCCTGCATTTGTCAGCAGTGTGTACACAAGGCCATGGGGAGGCTTCTGGTGCTTTACGTTCATGCCAGAGGGAAAAGAAAGGGGACTCCAATTCCCTTTTGGGATTTTAAATTATATAATGATATGGACCCCATCTAACTTCATATTGCCATATGCTTAGAAATACATTTATTCAGGAATAAACTCTCTAAAAAAAACAATGCTGGAGACAGGGCAGCTACACCATTTTGACTCAAGCATATCACTAGGCTTTTCAGAGTTAGTCTTTGGTAAGCACAAGTGCGATCTTCAAAACTTTCCTTCACTGTTTTCATCCTCGGTGATAATGAGAGAAACAAAAGGCAGCCTTAAAAATTACCTTCAAGTCCATAAACGTCTGCAGCTGGTCATGTGAGTAATGTTAAATCATTGGTCACGTGCCACTGAAACTTTGCCAAAATCCCTGAAATCCTTTGGTAAACCAAAACCATGTCATATGACCTGCACTGTAAGGATTCATAATTGGAAGAATGCAGGACAACATTTTTCATGTCCACCTTCTCCTTTTCTTATCACTGAGAGTGAAACATTATAATAAAGCACTGTTTTCCTTAAGAGTACATTTCCACAGTACATTTAATTTTGGATTTACATGAAAGCTGTGGAGTTTGAAATTTTTTACAATTTTATCTTTAACACTGTACTTCACTATGCTCAGAATCTGACATCTTTAACATAAGTTGCAGAACGGGTGACATTTAATTGGTCACTTCACCCTAGTCTTTCAGAAGAGGCTAAAACACACCATTTTAGTTGATTAAATCACTTTTTTAAAGAAATACTATAGGAAATGTGCAAAAAGGAACAAGACTCATAATAATGAATTTGATGTAGCACATACAGTTGTACATAGCTTTGTGCATACAGTTTTATGAGGCATTATTTATATTAAATAGAAAATTCATGCAATTGGTTTTTGGTATGTGGCCACTCGTGAGTAATATGAATTGCCCAACATACAGCATGCAAAAAAGTGGATGTTCATTTCAGGATAAAAGATCAGTTGTGGAGAGAGAATCACAATTTCAAATGATCTAAAGCCTTTGTAGCCAGCTTAGTTGAGGTGTTGTATCGACTCCGCGGTCAATTGTGACTTGTTTTTTTTGGAGGGGGGGATTTATTTGCCTTCTTCCTATTGACCGGGGAGGAATGGCCAAGAAAAACCTTTAGCAGGTTGAAAATTCCCTCACCTCTGCACGCACTGAAGACTCTGCAGGCAAGAAATGAGCATCTCCAAGTTTAAAAAGAACACTGGAACCCTATATCTGGCTGCCAAGGCTATGATAGCATAATTTTCCAGTTCCTCTACCCCAACATTGATCACCTTTGCTCGTCTCAAGATGGTGAAGCCATATGCAGAGGCAACCACTGATGTGCAACCACCTACTGTGACGATCGTGGCATCAGACCCCAGCCCTTCTCACCAAACTCGTGACCGAAGGACTAGCCAATCTAAAACCGTGCTGTCATGTGCGTAACAATGCCACGCCTAGCTGGACCCTGCACACAGATTTTCCAGCTAATGGACCACAATCTGTGTATCTGCAGCCTGAGAGCGATTGTTACTGGGTCAGGTTAATTACACAATTAACCCTTCACACTGCCACCACCTCCTTTTCGTACAGAGAAAGAGGAAACTCGGCAATATCAGCAATAACACTATGATGTTTGAATAATCGTTTGTATACACGTCACCGCAGACAGTTGTATGCAGACGTTTAAAACACACAGTAGCGTTCTTCAGAGACAGGGATGCTTTAGTTTGCATTAAAGAGCTGTAGAAACAGTTCAACACTTTCAGAAAAAAAGATTTATTACTAAAGGTCAAAAGGGTGCAATAAAAATATTTACAGAAAAAGATGTAGCCAATATATATAAATATACAGAAAACAATAGCACAGCAAAGAGATAACAGAAAGGAGTTTAAAGGGTTAAAGTAGTTGCCAAATGTCCTGGTTTAAGAAGATCAAGTTTCATGAGCCAAAAGGATGCCTTATCTCCCAACCTTAGTTCCGATGTTAAAAAAGGGAGAACTTCAGCTCTCACACACCTCAACTCAGCCTAGCTTAGCTTTTTCTAGCAACTCCACAGGGTGTCTCCCTGGAGCAGTAAACCAGTATATTGGGACCGTGACACCCCAAAGAGTATCGGCTTAAGCCCTTGACTTTTTGTTCTTTTTAACAAATCTATTTCACCCTCTAATTTACAAGCTAATATTGACCATTTGTGTTTCCTCTCTGGAATATCAAAAGGCTGAAGCTTTTTATTTATAAGTACCTTCTACCCAGGCCTCTGGGCCAGTTTTCTCTTCAAGTGGTCAAATTTAAACATTGAATACCTGAGCACTATGATTCTGCTGGACATTTCCAACATCTATGCAGCTGACTTTCATCTCCTATTACAAAATAAAGTGACTTAACTGCTACCATGCAGTCTTCATTTCTTGGTTTGGGTGATGTAGCATACTGAAGATGAACATCCTCACCTGCCTTCTGTATCAATTGCAAACCCTTCCACTGCACACCATCTTCCTTATTAAAAACTGTGAACACAATATTTCTCCGATTCTTGCAATCTTATATTACCCCTAGATTACAGTAGTCCATCCTCTACTATCAAAAATCACCCAGCTGTTGGTACTCC